CAGTTTTGTTAAACTGAGAGGAGTAAACAAAAATATAAAATGAATGACGTCTGGTGATTTTTTTTTATCAAAGAATATAATTTTGAGGCGCAACACGAAAGTGCGCATGGACTGAGGACCGGTACCTACTTCTCAATTGCGTGTTACCATTTAGCATCTTGGTTGATTTTGGCATCTGCAGTTCACCGGGACAGCTGTGATATTCATATAACACTGCTGCAAGCATCATTTCAGCTTGCTCCACGAGGGCAGAGGGATGCGATGAAAAGCGACACAGTCCTGCCTTTTGTCATAATCACTGAATGCATGCTTGTCGGAAGCTGTAGACGAATATGGCTCTATCCGTAGAACAATAAAGAGCAGCGAAACCAGCAACGGAGTTTCATCATTCAAATACTCGCTCTGTTGCATTTTCGGTGTTCCTGATTCCATTCCTATGCACTGCACCTTTGCGATATTTTTACTTCTCTTCCATCAAATACAATTTTCTTTTCCGGAAAATAGTAAGTCGTTTTCTACTTGCTTTGAAGAGTAGACTTTTAAATGCCTTGTTTATTTAGAAATTCATTGTGACCTCTATTTAATCACTGTAGAAGCCCATGCTGACCCATGTTCTGAATTTGGCCTTGAAACTCGTGCTGGCCTATATTTTCTGAGCAAACCGACCTGTGTACGTTCGGGTTTTCAGGAATCTTCAAATTACCGAGGCTGATATTGCACGCTGACCACTACTATCTTATGAAGCGTAAAGCTGTCGACTTGTCCTGTCAGATTGAGCCAGGTTGGCGTGGTGCAACAATGGCTGATGTACACTGGATGAAGGATGGTGTTCCGATAGGCGAGCTTGAGAGCAGTATCCACGATGAACTGCTTGCCAACGGACCAACGTAATCCTTCTGCTCTTTTGTCAAATCATTAGCAATTAGCACTGGGTGCATTCGGCTTATTATTTTCTCGCATTAGTTTCTACACTGATCTATGATTATCTCGCCTCACCAACGAACTGCTTGTATGACAGATTTCAACACGGGTAACCGTCCAATGCATGCCTTACGACAACAACCTGTTGAAGCAGTTCTCAACACGCTTCCGGATGAAGAGACGTGTTGCTTCCTGCGATATTATCCTTGCCTCTTACAGAATTATAGTGCTAATGTATCAATCTCGGTGTTGCAGTTTACGCATACAAAGCGGAAGACATCACGTCGAAGGGGACTATCAGTGCTCAGCAGTGGTGCGCGGTGTGCGCATCTCGAATGGTCAGCACATTGATACTCGTCTTGTTTCGGCACCTGTTAAATTTCGTCGTGCTCGGATTACCAGATTTGAAAGAATCAGCTCAGAGGTGATTTTTATGGGTTTTTGCTGTGCAGCGTTATAGCGCTGCTACAGCTAGCAAAAACGCATATTGTCGAGAGGCTGTTTGTGTGTGTATGTTTGTTCGGAAAGCGAGTGCATTTTGTCACCCACTTTCATCTCAACAACCAGGAAAGCTGGGAGGCTAAAACTTTGGATATATGTTCCTATCCCGTGTATCATCCTCCTGTTTTATGATCTTTCCCCATACGCGCCTAGACCCCGCGCACGGGCCCCAAAGAAATACGTTGGCGGGAAACGATTTCGCGAACCAGGCAAAGTAGAAAGCTGGAAGTTTGCAGAGATATTCTCTATTCGCGTGCGAGATAAATATTTTAAACTCAGCTCTCTAGCTCCCCAACCACAGCCTCAAGCAGCTTCTCAACCCGAAAATCGTTAGCAACTCGTGCCTGAATCGTAATTGTATATGCAAATGAACATGGATTTTTTGAAAAACGACCGTTCGAGCAATACTTCCAATTTTT